GCAGTACTCCACAAGAGTTTACCACAATGTATTTTATTCTTTTGCTAGATGTGGGTGTCACTGATTCCTAATTATCCTTGAACTGAGTTGCATGCGAGGTCACTTCAGAGGAAAGTTAATAGTCAACCATATTTCTGTCAGTTTGGAGTCTCATGTAAGTCAGATCAGATAAGAATTTTCTTCCCTAAAAGACATTAGTGTAACACATGGGTTTTTAAGACAATTGATGATCATTTCAACAGTAGGATTATCTTTATTTCAAATTTTGTTAATTGAATTTAAATTCTACATCCCTGCAGATTAACCTGAGCCTCAGGATTACGGAACTAGTGACTTTTCCACTTCGCCACAATCCTCCTTTGACAATAGTAGTTCATACAAGAAAGCTGTAATTTTAATAAAGATAAAGGATTATTTTAATTCAGAACTATTTCTTCATTTATAAAAAAAGGCAAAGGCAATCTGTATTTGTACATACACTTATCAATGTAGCAAAGTCTTGCTTTAAACTAGTTTGTACAAAGTCAACAACTAATTTTTTGTATTTTGCATCCATTGGAAGGTTTCCACCACAACTTCTGGGAATTTTCTTTCCATTTAATACACAGATCACTCACCTTCAACAATAATGTGACTGCTATGTTACTATTATCTGTTAGCAGAAGAGATTGAAAATGCATGAAATTTACTTGGTAAATTAGGGTGTTTACTTAGCAAATTTGAATGCAGTAGATTTGCAATATGCAGATCTGGAATAAATTATTTGGAATAGATTATTTGGGACTGCTGCCAATTGCATACTTACGCTTGGTGTTCTGAGGTGGGATTTCTGAAGTTTGCTTTGTATCCTATCAACAACATGGACTGTGCTGAATATGAATCCCCATAGAGATCCATCTGGACAATAAAAACATAATTTGCTTAGTCTTTTGAGTTTAGATGAAACAGCAACTGTTGAGAGCAGCTGTTTCTGTTACGGTGGCGACCACTGGTGGGAAATCAAGTATATCAGTGGAGAGTCATGCATCTTAACCATCTCCCAACTGGCCTTTCATGTTTGGTTCAGGCCTTCATCTTAGACATCTTGATGTTGGCTGTTCTGCAATGCTATTGGTAGCCTCAACTGAAAACAGGATTTCTTAATGAATACCAGCGAGAGCTGTATGCCTCATGCACTGATATCAATACATTCTTTAGAAGCAAATTTATATATTTTGTTATATATTGGAGGAACTATTGTTCCCATTGATTGGTCTGCAGATTGAGGCGACAATACACTTGTATGGGCCAGCAATGTATATAATCTGAAAGTGGAGAGAGAAACAGAGTTAACATTTTGTGTCTTAGAAACGGCATTTTTGATATTGTTGAACTGCATAGGTCCTCTCCCAGGTCTTGGGAATAGCCGCTGACCAAGATGACAGAGCACAAATTTGCAACAGCGGAATAAAAGTCAATCAATAGAATATGATGTTAGCCTGATTTTTGACCATGACTGATTATTGCTAAATTTACTGGACAACATGAATTATTAGTTTTGATACAGCTGAAACAGGTTATTTGCTGGAAAAACATCATTAATAGATTATTCAGCCTGTTCAGAGATGTTATTACTTGAACCCTGGGCCTTGAACCCAGGCTACACACAAGATCCGCTAAACATCATTGATATAAATTAGATTTAAACTGTTCTCCTTCCCTGCTTGTTTCCGAGAAAGGAGTAATAGGATATGGAATTACTTTTGCCCGTGTAATTGCTATGCAAGCAAAGTGGTGTTGAACACAGACCAACCAACAGAAAGGAACAAAGAATTTAGGGCAGTTGACAACAGACCAGCACTGCACTACCTCCCAGTGGATAACTGCAGTTCACATTTAGCACAGACCTAGGAGAGAAATTGCACATCTTTTTAGTTGTCCAGCAGCCTTGCAGACACTGTACAGGCCTTCTTCCAGGATAAATCTACAAACACACAGCCACATGAAAAGTATTTAATATTTCTGCACTTTGAAAAAGACCTGCTGTACACATCAAATTTTACAGAGAATATTGCCTGATAGTAGGGCACTTTCCAGAATTTGGCTTGGATCATCCAAGCACCAACAATGGTGATTGAATAGTCATTGTACCCTGCAATATGATATCTTTAAAAGTCCAGTGGGAATGTTCATGAATAGATGAATAAATCGTTGATTGGATGAATGAGTGAGTGACTGAAACAGTAAGTGGGTATGAGGTGAGTGAGTAAGATTGGAAGGAGTGAAGTGGGTAGAAAGTAGGGGTTTGAGAGATTAGGTGGGTGAGGTGAATAAATGGGTATGGGGTTCATGTGTGATGTGGGTAAGTGGGTAGGCTATAAGGTGTTAGAATGCAGGGGTGTGGGGGTGGGGTGCGGTAAGTGGGTACTCAGATCAGGAGATAGGTGAATTGGATTGGGATGTTAATGGGTATTCAGTAGGGAAAGTCAGGGTCGGGGTAGACAGTTCAGATAGTTGGACAGCAGGAACAGATTAAGAATGCAATCTGGTGTTGGTGTGGTCAGGCAATAATTTGGTTGGGTGTCAGTCATGGGTTAGTCAGATGGTCGAAGGGTGGTCAAGTCACAGGTAGTCAGGTGAGACAGGAGGATAGTTAGATGATCGAGGAGAGGCTGGGGTAAGGAGTGCATTTGGGTAGGATAGCCAGATCAATGGAATAGAGAATGGACAGTCAATTTGGGTTGAGGGTTAGTGGGTTGTTAGTCAGACCGGGTGGAGCTTGAAATGTTTTCCAGACTTTCCCCTAGGCCCAGGCTAGGGGAGAAGGAGGTTTGAGCCTCATTGCAAAAACCATGGGCTGAATGGCCTCTTTCAGCACTGAAATCATGTTTTGGGAGGTCTGATTAATAGCAGTCGATTAAAATGCTCTGCCACCTCTGTGAGCTGAGGAATGGCCATAAACAAGTTTCCCCACCCTACACACTGGCTGGGAGACTGCCAATACAGGTGATACACTGGTGGAGAGTTGGAGGTGGGAGTTGGGTTTTAAATGAGTCCCTAATTGATACAACTTGCTGCCAGTGGGTCTCCATTGCTGTAAAATGCTGCGCCAGCAGAAAGATGTCAGGCTCCCGTACTTTCTGTTGCCCTTTAACCAAAATTCCCTTCTCCCAGTCCATCTCCTGAGGGCAGGTTACATTCAGCCCTTCATGACTCTGGTGTGGCATCATCACTGTGCACAGTAAAAAGCCAGAAAACTGCAACCGCCTTTCCTTTTGCAGCTATTGAGCAGAAATGGGGGATGAAGAAGAGTTTAGGAGTTTGCTCGAAAAACCATGTTTATAGACCACATCAGAATCATACAAACAGGTCTAATGAGCTGCGGATTCCCAGTTTACACCAAAAGTTAATAAGACCTTTGGCACTGGGATACTCAGAGGTTTCTCTACAGCTAAAATAGCTCTTCCCATGATAATTGGCTCAAGCCAAATTGCTACTCATTCCATTCCAAACACTATGGCCTATACGAAGTGACTGAGACCTGAGGATTAACAATTCTTTAAATTCTCTGAAAGCTGAAGGGGAATTGCCAGAAGTGCAAAGTTTCATCAACACAACCCATTGACCGTACAGGATCAGTCATGTATCAAGATATCTGATGGTGTGACCACGGAGAAGTTATATTGTTGCTTATTTCAAGAATTATCAAATAAATTGAATTCAGCATAAGCACTTAGAATCGTACAAATCAGCTGAAGAAAGGGTGAGACTTTTGGGGCTTTGTGGAGGTATAATAGAAAGCATTCATATCAAATATTTAATACAATGGCTTCATGTGATTAAGGAAGAGGAGGGTGGTTCGTGCAAGTGCAAGGTTGACAGTCTGCTAAAGTGGTGATACTGGGGATTGTTGGCTACTAGCCAGAAGCCCACAACTTGCAAGACAAAAATGGGTTTAATGAATGGTTTTATAAAACCCCAATGTGTGCAGTTCTGGGAAAAATCAGTGGTGTAATCTTTAGCTTCTGGCAAAGTTGAAATTTTGCTAAATCTGGAGTTGAAGTTAGAAAGTGACATCTTGCAGTCTAATTTTAGGTCTATTTGTTACTGAAGAAAACATTAGCTTATAAGTGTGATGTGCTTTGTTACTTACTATGTTATTGAAGAACATTATGAAGTTGATTGAAATTCACCAGATATTACCTGCTTATTCAGATATTAAATATGAAATAAATTTGTTAGCTTACAATTCATTTTGTTTCACTTCATGTATTTATCAAAGTGCCAGGAACCTTAGTCCAATCTCTCCATGCCTATTAAGAAAACAAAGGGATGGACAGTATTGTGTTAAATATTGGAGATTTGTGGAGAAAAAATATGTAGCAGGAAAAAGAGCAAATGACTTTCTAAAAAATATGACCTGCTTGTAAAAGCAGTTGAACAAAATCTCAGGTCTGTGACCCCCTCACACAGATGTTTTCATTAAAGCAAGTGAAATGCCGAGTTTTGCTTTCCTTTCATTCTTAGCCCTGTACCTGGGGAGGAAATTAGGCAGTGTGATGCAACTTTGGTTTTGCAGTGCAGATAAACATGGCACAATGTCACCTGATTTTTTTTTATCATTGTACAAACCTGCACTTCACATTTCAATAACATTGCTCTTCACCTCAATGGAATTTAGAATTGCCCAAGCATCAACCTTGAGAAGCAGTTCTTTTCTTGAATTAACATAGTTTGCTGAATGCTAACACCTACTTTCCTTCCTTGTGGAGTATTTTTCTATTTACATAATTATGCAACAGTTACCTTCGTTTAAGAAACTCATTTTTATAACTAACATTAACTAAGAACAATGAAAATGAATGAACTGTGAAACATGAAGGGAATGAAATGTTTGAAATTTTAATGGTGTTATCAGAAAGTTAAGATTGGCTATTCAACTTATTTTCTTTACTGTTTCCCTTTCCTGCAGGCTCACCTGTAAAACTGCCATCTCTTCCTGAAACGAGAGTTATGACATTTGAACAGAAGCAGCCATGAAAGGGCTAGGAGGCAATCGAAGCCATCACCCTTCTGACAACTGCGAACCGACAAGTGACCAAATGTATCCAACCGCTGTCCCAGAAAGGAATCCTTATCTGCTCAATCCAGCAGATTCGTATCAAATGGAACATCATCGCTTCCCAATGTCCAGCACTATGCAGGGAGACTGCCTCCTCCCTTTGAACAATCAGATTGCCAGCAGCACCTTCCCCAGGATCCACTATAACTCACACTTTGACCTGCAAGATGATTGTAGTTTCACCCCCAATACTTCTACAAGCAAAATTAATCGCATTCCTGCTAACCTGCTGGACCAGTTTGAGAAGCAGTTGCCTATTCATAGGGATGGATTCCATACTTTGCAATTCCAGAGGGGTGATAACAAGCACCGGAGTGAAAGTCCGGGTCGGATACGCCACCTCATGCACTCTGTGCAAAAGCTCTTTGCAAAATCTCAGTCCCTTGAGGCTGCCGGCAAAGGAAGTGTGAATGGGAGCAAATATGGTTCAGATGACTCCAAACAGAGCAAGAGAAGCAAGAGCAAGGACCGAAAATTGGAATCAAAGCGCAGAACAAGAACAAATATATCAGGCTGGTGGAGTTCCGACGATAACCTGGATAGTGACAACTTAAATTATCGGAATCCGATGAGTTTAATGACACTTGGGAGGCGCACTGACCATGGACCTGCCAAATACTTCATGAACGCATATAACACAATCAGTGAACATACTCTTAAAGCTTCAAAGAGCAATAATGATTTGAAATGTTCACCTTGTGTGAATATACCAATAAACGCTGACTCAAAGTACATAAAGAGGGGCTCCTGGTCCACACTGACATTAAGCCAGTCTCGAGAAGTTTGCCAAAAATCATCTGCTACTATGGACAAAGCACTATTGAAATCCAAGTCATATCATCATGATCTTGCTTCCCAGTCCTTGAAGGTAGGTGACGTATTTTGAAGGCTGAGGTGTGTTTCAAATCTTCCACAAGCAAAACCCATAATATCTTTTATGCATTTCGCAAATATCAAATTGTAGCAAAATTGTACTCTACACCATATTGTATAATTCAATTAGGACCTAAAAGGTGCCATGAATATTAAATTGAAGACTGTTGAACAACATCCAACTTTCAGTGTGCACCTCTCATCTGACAAATGTATGGAATAATCAGCTAAGACTGTACTCAGAACAATTTGCAGCAGGGTGGTTTCGGAGGGGGCGATGTTGTAATGTAGTGAAATTTGTTTAACGTTCTGTAATTTCTCAAACATAATTGCACACCAATCTTACATAATCCAGGTAATAGACCATCCAGTGGCAATGTAAAGGTTCATTAAAAACACGCAAAAGTAAAATTAACTGACAGTGTTACAAGAGTGACAATTTGTCCTCTGAAATAACTTAATTTTTGCAATTCAGAACCTGCACACCATTGAAAGTTGATGTTGGTCTGCCTCCTACAACATGATTTCCTCAATTTTATTAACAAAATACAGAAGGGGCATTCTTCCCCCCAAAATTAAAATCTTTGTTTCAACAGGACTTATGGGCCATCGGACATATATTGTCTTGGACGTTAGCTTCTGCCCCAGTGAAAGCGGATGTCCTGCTTCCAGTTAAAAGGCCCCAGGAGTTCTCCACTCCTGGTAGCACCATGAGGAAGAGTGGCTGGGACTGCAGCCAGTATCAAAGTAGGAGTGTCATTGGTGTGGTGTGGCCACAAGGCCGGATAAGTGAAGTGTCCACACAAGCAGACCCTTTCAAGAGGGTGGAAATTGTAAAGTCAGAAGCAACATGTTCAAGAGGGGATGGACCTTTGTGCTGGGAGTTGGGGCCCTCCATTGGGTAAAGGATTCCCGAACAGGAATACCACCATTCTCCACCAAGCCCACAGCCAGGCCAGCAGAGTTTAACTGAAAGTCTAGCCAAGAGCCATGGGCACTGCTCATTATTCATGTACCGTCTCAATTGGCTAAAGGCGAGTGGGGTGCCCGACAGCTACCATGCCTCTGATAAAATCTCAGTAGGAGCCGATAGGCAATGGGCATGTTGGGTTCCCTGGTAGCCTACCCAATTTTATGCTGCCCCTCACCCACCCACCATGGGTGATTAAAATTCCAGCCTTCAAATCCAAGCGTTTCCTTCTGTGTGTAGACAATGGTGGAAACTGGCAGTAATGGACAAACTGCCCATTATACAAGCCATCCACTTTTCCATTTTGCCAATTTCATAAAATCTCCAATGACCAGTTTTGCGCTCGTACCCTGAATTGAAAATTACTTCCCAGAGAAGTTAACATTCACATTCTGTAGGATTGCTTGCTCTGGATGGACATCTCTGTTCTTGTGTGATAGTTGAACTTGTGGTAAATGCCTTCAATTGCAAATTACTTTGCGTTTATCTTATAAAGATTGCGTCCCCTATAGTTGAATGATTTTGTGCTAATTTTACACGAGCTGCTATAGATGTTCTGAAAACCTGGAGGTCACCCATGAGGCAAAGAAGATGCACAGGCATAAAATTCATACAGTGGTGTATGTATTATCACAGAAAGCAACTGATTTCTCATTGATATAATTTGAGTATAGAAGATGTATCATCTCAGCATTAATTTCTCCAGTCAAGTGAGAAACGTTTATGTAAAAATAGTATTTATGCATCAATTGCTACAACTCAATCAAGGTGTTCTAAAACATAAACCACCATAATCTGGACTCAGCCATTATGTCTTTGTACCTTAAGCAGTAAAATAGCCAGCCAATGAAATTCAGCCTATTATGTGTTTGCTGCAGATTGTTAATTATCAATTGTTTGATGAATGAATATTTATGATATTTCTCTGTTGCTTGAGAAAATATTTAATATTTCAGTAAATGCAGAGCGTCAGATAAGGTCTAAATTATTTGTTTTTTTAATTTATCTTCTTATTCCACTGATACTTTTGGAAAAGTAAGACCTTTTATAGACAACAGGAGCAAAAGACCTCCAATGTTACAGATTCACAAATTTGAATTTACATTTTGTAAAATCATAGATATTGACATGCATAAACGAACCATTCTGATCGTTATCTCTGTGCTTTTTCTCTGAAGTAGCACTTTCCTAAAGCTGTACCCTTATCATTTCCCTGCGGCTATGCAAACATTTCCCTTTAAATAATGATTCAAATCCCTTTTGAAAGCCTCAATTGACTTGCTCCACCACGCTCTCAAGTAGTGCAATCCATACCCTGACCAATCATAATAGCATTTTCCTCATGTCACTATTAATACTTCTGACAATTAACTTAAATCTGTGCTTTCTGGTTCTAAATCCTTCCGCCAATAAGAACAGTTTCTTCCCACCCAGTCTGTCCAGTTCCCTCACAGTTTTGAATACTTTTATCAAGTCTCCTTTCAACATACTCTTTTCTAAGGAGAACATTCCCAAAATTTCCTTTCTATGCAATTGAAAGTCCTCATCCCTGGAAACATTCAGCACCCTCTCTAATGCCTTCACATTCTCCCTCAAGTGTTTTATCTTTACCAGACTCAGTTTTTCAGTTGAGGTTGAACGGATATTTTATTCAGTTTTAATGTGACTTCCTTTCTTTTCTACTCTTTGCCTCAATGGATAACGCCTCCAGATGCCAAATATTTTAAATTGTCACCTGTGTCCTGCCATCTTCAATACCATGTGTACAATAGCACCCAGATCCCTCTGCTTCTGCACTCCCTTTAGAATTGCACCCTTTATTTTGTATGGATTGTCCATGTGCTTTCTAATCATCACATGTCCCTCTGCATTAAATTTCAACTGCCAGTTGTCAGTCCATTCCACCAACATGTCTGTGTCCTTTTTGAAGTCCTACACTAATGTCCTCATGGTTCACGATATTTTGAAATTCTAGATCATCCACAAATTTTGAAAGGATGCCTGCACACTGAAGTCATTAGTATGGATCAGGAAGAGGAGGGGTCGTAACACCTGGAGAACTCCACTCTAGACTTTTCTCCAGCCTGGACAAAAGTCGGCTGTGGCTAATCTCTGTTTACTGTGCCTGTTGCTACTGCCCCTTTTATTCCATGGGATTGAAATTGTGTGACAGGTCTTTTTAAGTGGCCTTTTCTCAAATGTCTTTTGGAAGTCCTTCTACATCGCAATAATAGCATTACCCTCATCAATCCACCCTGTTATCACATCAAAACATTCAAGCAAATTTTTTAACATTGTTCTTTGGTTAAGAAAAAGCAGCTTAATAAGGCCATATGTAATGAAACAAGGCAGAATTGTTAGTTTGTAAAATAATTTTAAACTGACACAAAACATTGGTTAGACCACATGAAGTACTGTGTACACTTTTATCTCCACAATATAAAATGGAAACAGACACTAGACAAGGTACGAAAATTATTTATAGTATGACACAAGTACTGAGAGGGTTTATCTATCAGGAAAAATTGAACAGGCTAGACCTCTTCTCACAGGAATAGAAGGCTGAGGAGATCTGAAATTATGGGGAGATTTGATAATGTAGGCATAGACAAGGTACGCACTTTGCATGGAATCTAGAACTAGGTGTAATAAATATAATCGTTAATAAATTAGCAAGAAATTCAGGAAAGTCTTGTTTAGCTGAAGAATATTAGAAAATGGACTTGATACCACGTGGAAAATATGCAGTGAAGAAGGGTCTCGACCCGAAACATCAACTTTCCAGCTCCTCTGATGCTGCCTGACCTGCTGTGTTCCTCCAGCTCCACACTATGTTAGACTCTGACTCCAGCATCTTCAGTTCTTGCTATCTCCAAATGAATAGCATACTTATGTTTAAGATACAGTTGATTCATCCATGTGAAAAAGGAATAAAAAGAAATATAAACAGGTTACGGGAGTGGGCAACAAGTTGGCAGATGGAGTATGACTTTGGAAGCCACCTTGACAGTAAGAATAGAAAAGCAGAACATTTCTTAAAAGGCATGAAACTTGTAAGTGTTGATGTTCAGAGGAACTTGGGTGTAGTTGCATAAGAAAAGTTAACAAGTAGGTATAGCAAGCAGTTAGGAATGCATGGGCATATTGATCTTTATCACAATTGGAATGGAATAAGGGAGTCTTTCAGCAATTATATCCGCTGTTACCATACCTGGAGCATTGTGCATTGTTTGATCTCCTTTTCTAATGAAGGATATGCTTGCCTTGGAGACATCAGAGGACGATTCACCAGATTTGTTCCTGAGATTAGAGGGATGTCCTGTGATGAGAAGCTAAATGAATTAGGCTTGTACTCTCTGGAGTTTAGAAGAATGAGGAGTAATCTCTTTGAAACATTGAAGATTCTGAAATGTCATTGAGAGGTTAATTTCCCTGCTCCGGATATTTGGAGACCGTACTCCCATGTTCTAGCTAAGAGGTCAATAATTTAAGACTAAGATGAGATTTTTTGTTTCCCACAGATATTGCAGTTCTTGAGATTGCCAGATTTGGAATAGGAGAATGGACCGGATGAATATGTGGCTGGAGAAATATGTAGGAGGGAAGAGTTTTAGATTCCTGAGGCATTAAGATTGATTCTAGGGAAGATGGAATCTATTAAAGCTGGACAGGTTGCACCTCAGCTACATCATGACTAATATCTTCACAAGAGAATTCATTACTATGGTGGCAGTAGGTTTAAACTAGAATGGCAAGGGTGGGAACTTGAGTGGGGAAACACAAGAGAGGGAAGAAAAGATATAAATGAAAGGTAGAAAAGTAGAAAGCAAAAGTGGAGGCTAGAGTCTAAAAAATGTGTAAAAATATTTTTTTAAATCTAAAGGTACTGTATCTGAATGCAAGGAGCATTCAAAATAAATAAAAACCAAAAGAATTGCGGATGCTGTAAATCAGGAACAAAAACAAAGTAGCTGGAAAAGCTCAGCAGGTCTGGCAGCATCTGTGGAGGAGAAAACAGAGTTAAC